GTACACAGCGAAGCTGTGTGTGTACCACATGAGTAGTACAGCCTCGGTTATTGCAGTAACCGGCTGTGCCGTTCCATATCTTGTGACGGCTGTATTAGGCAAGCTGTGTAAACCAGCGCCTGTTCAACAATAATACAATTACCCAGCACCCTGTACAAGCCCACAGTCACTCCAAGAACATTCACAATCTTTGACAGCTCAATTTACAAGGCTCACCCGAGGCAATGTACAAGCCCTGGATCACCCGATGCTTTGAACAATCAATTACAATAGCCTCATACAAGCCTATTGGTGTATATACAATGCATACAACCTTTCACAGAATCGATTACAAGCCCTGCTCAGGCTTCGGCCTTTGAACAAGCTTTGACAAGCCTCTATTACAGAAGTCCTATACTAGCCCATCGGCGTATGTGCAATATATACAAGCGTTCACAACGTTCAGAGTAGTCCCGTGCAGGCGTAGCGGCGTATATACAATATATACAGGCTTTGACAAAGTCGACTACAAGCCCTGTTATGGATTCCGCCGCTTAGACAAGCTTCAACAAGCTTCTATTACAAAGGCACGTCCGCCGCTTAGACAAGCTTTAACAAGCTGCTATTACAAAGGTACGCTTCTATTACAAGAGTGTTATACTGGCCTGGCTGCGTGTATACAATATTACAGGCTCTTACAACGTCGATTACAAGCCGTGCTAGTGTTTCCACTGTATGGACAAGCTTTCACAAGCTTGCATTACCTGAGTGCGTAGACGGAGCTGTAATCAATTGTATTGTACAATATACGTACACGGAATACACAACCTGAGCAGCAGGTTAGTGGGCGGTTGTAATACAAGACTGGATACTACTGGTGCCGACGGTAGCTTGCAATCCACATTACATTCTGACCGGTTCGTGGCTACGTACAAATCGCCGAGAGACACCTATGGCATCACACCGACCAGCGCAAGCTCGTCAGGCCACCAGGGACGACGGACTTCCAAGGCTTCTCGCTCCCGCTCTCCCCTGCCCGGCTGACAAGGCACCCGTTCTCGGACGCAGCGAGGAACACGTCCGGCAGGACCACCGTGTCGTCCTCCGGGCCATCCTCGTCCTCCGCAGGCGAGGCGGCGCTGAGCTCCTCGACGGAGGTGGTGGCGAACGTCAGGCTTCGAGGCGCGCCGGACCGGCGCTGCGCTTCGCCCAGCACATCTGCTTTCGCCGATGGAGGCAGCACGAAGAACTGGGGTTGCAGAGGAGGGTTGAGTGGGGCCAAGCAAGAATGAGGTGCTGCACGCGAGAGAGGGAGAGGGGGGGACGTACCTGGACGAGCGAGCCCTCGGCCGGAGCGGTGTCGCTGTCGAGGGCTATGGACCCCCTGGAGGGGTCGCCAGACATGACGTAGAACAGCTGGGACACCTACGCACGAAGAGTGAGCGCGACAGCGCGAACAGAGAGGGCCAACGGACCTCGTAGACGCCTTTGTGCTGATTGAGCGTCCCGATGTATACCCGTAGCTCTTTGGGGACGTTCTGGTTCTCAGGGGTCGGGGCAGCAGGGTGGTTTTGCAAGGCATGTAAGAGGAGGCGGGACGGGTTCGCGCTGTCCAGGGCATTGACCAGGTTGCCTTCCGTGCTGAGAGCGTTTCTGTGAGTCAAGCGCGTACGCTACTGCAGGCCGTATGCGCCCACCTCGTCACTAGCATTGGGCGGGTGACAGCTTCCAGCCCCGGGAAATCGCTGCGCAGGCTAGGCAGCGTAGGCGTTGATAGGCACACGCCTACGGCGCCATCGGAATATACGGCGTCGTTGTGGAAGAGCGTGTACGGTCTCCCGGTCACGAAGGGCGTTGACGTGCCAATGAATGCTAGCTTTCGAGATGGGAGGGGTGAGTGCCTATCTTCCCGCCGCTCACGACGAGGTTGCACCGACCTTGGTTGCATTGCGATATTTGCCTAGCGCGCTGGTGAGACCTTCGGGAGCCTTGTCGCTGAGATAGAGGACGCCGTTGACAGAGTCGGCGCTGCACTCGCGTACAGATCAGTTCGTCGCACAACGTACAGAACATCGGATGTGCTCACGACAAGGACTGGAGAGCAGAAGGAAGCGTGCTGCCTTGATGAGAGTCGGCGAGCGCATTCTCCCAGTCGATGTGTTGACTATAATCCATGTTGTCGGGCTCCTTCTCCTTCTGGTGGATGGCATGCCACCTCCCGACCTGTGCCGCTTTCCTGCCAGGAATTGCACTCCGGAAGAGGGTGGCATGCGCGTCGTCAAAGGAGGCAAGAGATAGCGCGGTGCGCTGCTGCCAAGCGGAGCGGGCAGACGGGATAGGCGCGGACAGAGAGCCGACAGAGTTGCTGGATATGGACTGCACAGACGAGACGAGCTGGGAGAGTTGGGCAGGATCGGTGAGCTGGGAGACGGAGATTGTGTAGAGAAGGGGGTGAGCGGAGAGGGTAGGACGGAGGTGGGATATGTGCGCCAGAAGGTCGGCGGTGTTGCGCGAGATGAAGGTGCTTGTATGGAGTGCCATGGGAGGGCGATACGCTGTGGGTGGAAGCAAAGTACGCGTTTTGATCGCTGGTAGCTGGAGCACTGAGCAGATGAAGCGACGCAACCTTACATCGTATTCTATGCTGTACGCGCGTCCGGCACGCCGAGCTGTGAGGTGGCGCGTGACCATGTCGCACGTGCACCGTTACACATCGCGTCACCAAAGAGTTAGTACTCTTCGCCTGTCAGCCTCATTCACTCTCGAAACGCACGAAACAATGCCAAGGCAGCTGATATTTAAACAAATCGGAAATCCCGAGATACAAGATCTACACGCCGCGCAGACAGACGCTTCCCTACACATACGTCGCCTTCAGCCTGCCCACGATATACTCCTCAGTCGTCACAGGCGGGTACTTTGCCTGTCCGTTCCCCGTCAGACAAGTGGGCAGACACGAGATCTCCGCACCCTGGTTGGGATTGCAGAAGAACGCGATCGACTGCCGAGCGGGCGTGATACCCTCCGTGTCGCTGATCGCCTTCGCAGGAGGCGCGACCACCCGGTGCAGCGTCGACCGCAGCACGTCGTTGCTCCAACGCGCCAGCAAGTCTCCCGCGTTGATCACAATGGTCCCGGGCTGAGTGACTTGTCGTCAGCGAAGCGAAACGGCCATGCTACACAAAGAGCTCACGATAGGAGTAGCGGGCTGGAACTGTCCAGTATGTGGATTCTGCACTTCAAGACCGCCAACCTGAGACACTCGCATCAGCCAACAGCTGTAATGCACCGGGACGAGACATGTACCGAGTCCTGGAACAGGAGCGTCAAGGTGCCATAGTCCGAGTGCGCGCCCGCCCGCGCCTGGCCCTCCCCGTGCAGGAGCTGCGTCTTGATAGGGGGGTACGACAGCAGCCGCAAGTTGTGATACTGCTCGTTAATCTTGTCGTCGAAGAACGCCTCGTCCAGGCGCAGCCCGACCGCGATCGCGCGCATCACCGACACGTGCAGCTCATGACAAGTCTGGAAGAAGCCGAGCATCGCCCGCCTGAACCCCGGCGCGTCCTCCTCCCGCGGCCAGTAGTTCTTGTACGTCGTGTCCCAGTCCCGCCCGATCTCCATCGACTCCTTGTAGTCCGGCGCCTTCTCGCGCAGCTGCTTGATCTCGTCCGCGTCCGCGGACTGCGTCACGCGCTCCCGCCCGACCTGGACGAACCCGCGGTTCGCACGGGGGTCGCGCCACGCGAGCTCGCTCTTCTTCTCGATGGGCAGCTTGAAGAACTCCGCGCTCTGTCGTCGCGGCTCTATCAACGAGGGCCTGCGATGGAAGCGACAGTGAGATGTTGCGCACCTTCTGGAACGCCTGCTGGACGGTCTCTTGGGGGATGCCGTGGTTGCTGAGGTATACAAACCCGACGTCCGTGAACCCGCGCACGACCTCCTCCGCGGTCCGCTCCTTCTCCGCCGCCGTGGCCGCGTCGCGATACTTGCTGAAGTCGATGATGGGGATGCGGAAGGCGTCCTGGGGCTCGGGGTTCGGCTATGCGCAGGGGGGGGGTCTATCTGGTGCGCGAGACTCACCTCGGAGATGGTCGCAAACGTCCTCGACTTGCGCAGGGCCGCACGCGAGGCCTGCGATACTGGCCAAACGCCAGGTGCGGACATCATGCGCCGCATGGTAGGGAGCACCGAGTGGCAAGAGGATGCGGCCGCGAGCATGTTGGTTTGGCCTCCGGTGTTCTCTCAGGTGTGTAGTGCAGGGGGGGAGAGTGAGCGCAGGGTGCAATCAGCTCGCGCCCGAGTTATGTATCGGACGAGGAGCAGTCGAGAACGCACGGCTTTGAGATTTACGCGCCCTTATCGGTCGTGGGCGCCTAGATTCACCCCGCATGCTGCTGTGCTACCAACGGGTGCCCGATCTGCCGCGCTGCTAGTCTCGTGACCAGACGTTCGGAGTGTGAAGCGGATGCGAAAAATCGGGAGGTGCTCGGGAACCTCCGATTTTTCGTTCCCGCTTGGAGCTCCGAACGTCTGGTCACGAGACTACCGCGCTGCTGTTTATCTGAACTCGGAGACCATGGTCAACATATGTACCTCATTTCCAGGCAGCTCATAAAAAAACCCATCACCATCCCTCTTCTTAAACGATCCTATCTGAAGCCTCGGACGGCTCCTATGTATACATATACTCAGACAACTGTGGTCCCAGGGGCGCTTGCTGACTTCCGATGAGCCATGACTGCTGCCAACGAATTTGTCTGTCTGCCAGGTGCAGTGCGGCCGGTGAGTGGGAAGCTGTTGCAATTGCGATGATTCTGGTCTTGTCGCTGCAGCTAATGCTAGGCTGAACGCAAATCTGTACTCTTGCCGCCTCGGGGTTTTTTTGTTGACCTTCGGGCCAAGAGCCATATCAAGGCGGCTTCCACCAGACGGCAGCTCCCGTCAAGCGCCGTGCGAACGTTCGCCCGCCGCATCTATGGTGCAGTTCACTTACAGCGCCTTGCATAAGTCCGTGAACGCGCGGGATTTTTTCTCTCCGGCGTCTACCCTACCCGACCTGCCTTAACAGGCCACATCATGGTCAGAAACGACGGGCAGCGCTCGGGATCCCTTCGCGTGAAACGGAGGTTTGTTTTCAGGACAGTCGTAACCTGTCCCTTTGCCGACACGTGCCAAAGGACGCTGAAGGGTCGGCAATGGGAAAGTTGTACTTGCTCAGAGGTTCTACAGCCCTTTGACAAAGAACGATTCATCAGCAAAACTGCATTATGATTGGCTTGCAGCACGTTCGAAGCCATTCAAGAATATGTCGCCCAAGCTGTCCATCCGATTGTCACAAGCATGCTAAGTTCTCTCTGATTCCACTGCAATCCAATAGGGATAGTATAATATATTCAAAACCAATCAGGCCAATTGAAGCCAATTGACACCACCGCTTGCCCCAAAGAGCTTCAATTTTCACGACTATCTTCAGACATGCTTGATTGGTTCCGACGTTCGCTAGATTGCACAAATAGGGACCCTTATGTAATCACATGTTGTGGGGAATCGGCTCAATTTGGGCATATAACTGGAAATGTGATATTGCAAGGATATGACGTAATCTACAACAAGATACAGGAGGTACGCCGTGCGCGCAGTAGACTACGACAGCAATATGTGAAAATATCGCACATATCCGGACTGACTCACCGACAATTGGACACACACATGGACTCACCGGTACATGGGATGCGAAGCGCCACCAACAGCGAGACATATGAACCAGAGATTATCACGCAAGTTGACGCAACGTCACCCGGGCCGCCCAAGGGATGTACGTAGGTCCTTTACTATGGTACCTCCTGTTGAGATCAGGGTACAGGATCCCCTGGGGGGGCAATGGGAAATCAAATACAGACATGGAAGTACCGCACTCATGTCCATACTTCTAAACATTGTGGATTTACCTGGGGGCCGTGATGTGCTGTCATGGAGTAGTCCCTGTGACTGTGATATGGCCTGTTTAGGCAGGTCGGGTAGGGTAGGCGCCGGAGAGAAAAAATCCGCGCGTTCACGGACTTATGCAAGGCGCTGTAAACGCCTCCACTTTTGTACGCTGTTAGGCGCCGTGTCATAAGTCCTCCAGATATTCATGATTTCGGTCAATTTTGTGTGAATTTCAAGGAATTGAACAGAGGAAGCGATCCCCAAAGGGGTTTCTCGATAGGGTGAGAACTGGCAAAAATGGCCGTACCAGTTCTGCCACGGCACGTGATCTGGGCGTCTATATTCCCAAAGAGTAATTTTATGCTTATATAATACCATACCATTGCCTGTACAGATCAGCATCCTTGAACTTGGGCCATGTATGGGAGGGTTTAGACACTATTGTGTCATGGGATAACGGCTCTATGGAGGTTCCTTGGGCTTGCACTTCCATCTGTGTAGCCTGGTAAGTAACAACAACCGATTCGAGCGTACTGCCAAGTCACGTGACACATAAGCGCGCGCTTAATTGCGTACAAAAGTGGAGGCGTTTAAGTGAACTGCACCATATATAGATGGGTCATCTCATGAGAGCGTACTACTTCCGTGGTTGCCATTCCTCCTTTCTTCCCATCGTGCGAGGAGAATCCTGTTCTACTGACATCCCCCGGCCACGACCAAGCACCAAGAGTAGAGAGTCTCAACTGGCAATATACTGTCGTTTAGCAGGATTGGCAGTGACCTACCCACCAATCCGACAATGAGCTCTACTCCACCGCCTTATGAGACTGTTCACAAGTGAGTCGCCATGTGTGCTCAACGCTGCTTCGTAGTATAACGAAGGGGTCTTCCAGATATGAGAAGAGGCCATTGGACAGCCCCAAGGATGAAGCCAGCCCTCGCCCCCCTGCTCGCATCTCCCGCCTGAAGATCGCCTTCGTCCTCGTCCTCGTGTACCTAGACGTGCTCGTCCTCGCACAGCACTTCAACATCTTCTCCTTCCTGCTGGACGACGACCCGCTCGAGAAGCAGAACACGCTCCGTCACGAATGGCGCCGCGAGCAAGACGCCCACGCCCGCGAAGTGGCGGTATGGAATCACGAGCGCGCGACGCACGTCCGCGAGATGCACGCATGGCAGCACGAGCTCGTCGCGCTCCAGGACAGGCGCGAGCAGTGGATGCGCGAAGCCGAAGCCGAGCGCGCGCAGTGGGCGGCGGAACGCCGCAGCGAGGAGCTCCGCAAGAAGGAGGTCGAGCGCATGCGGCAGGGCGTGCACTGGTCGGAGGCGTGGGGGAACCAGCGGTGCAGCGCGTACGGCGCGCGGGCGTACAACGCGCGCCTGCTGGACATCCCCGAGGAGTTGGGCTGGTACGAGGTCTGCGCGGACATGCCGAACAGGTTCCACGGGCGCTGGGTCGACAGGCCCGCGAGGTGCCAGCGCGATGTGAGTTCGCCGCTCGGGTGGCTATGTGTACGTGCGAGGCGTTGTGCTGACGCTTGTGTAGCGGAACGGGGTTTGGGCTACCTGGTACATCGACTTCGAGGAGCCGCGATGCATTACTTACTGGGACACCCTTCGTGACTTGGTACGTCAGCTGAGGTATAGTGGTGAACCAGTCTAATGATGCATTCATCACGCTAGGGTTGCAGCTCAGCCCAGTCTGGCAAGCGGGTAAGTGTTGCGAACAGGCGTACGTATGGAACCTAACATCATCTCGATCCCTAGCGTTACGAGGCCCGCCTCATGAATCTCACCCATCGGGATGACTGGGACGCGATGTGTAGCACCACGCCCGCTACAATCAACGGCATACACTTTGACCACCCCACCGCCTGCGAGGACAGGGTAGGTCGCACTCGTTGCCAAGTTCTGATCCTTCGTGCTCATGAAGTGCGTTCTACAGGCTGGGGCGACTGGGGTCTGGGATGTCCCCGATGATACCTGCTTCTAGCGCTTCAACATCGATGATTATCTCGTTTTCCTACGACACCCACGATAAGACACGACCCTCATGATGATATCTATAATTGGGTTCAGGAGAGGTTTTCTGGAGGTCCGGACTTGCGTTCACATTGCACACAGGTGTCCTGTCTTTACGCGTGTTGCTGTACGCAGTGTATTTTGAACTACCGCAGGATGCGCATAACTTGTTGTGTGAAGGCACCGATGCCCTCATGATGCATCCATGGATTATGGTGAGCTTCTTGAGGCCGGAACCGGCCGAACTGGATCAGCGTTACTTGTGTTACGTGTAAGGGCTAGGACAAAGGCTACCGCAGCACCCCTTCCCTAGTACAAGCTGTGCCCGACCCTCTCCCTCTACATTCTCGCTGCTTACCACAGTTCACCCACTCGTCTCAGGCGGTCAGTGTTGAATTGCTGCTGCAGTTCTCTGCACGAGAGCCTGCGACTCCTTAAGCTTGGACTAACAAACAGAATCGGCCCCGCAGGTAGATCGAGTCCGATCAACTTGAACTGGAGCAAACGATGCCTAGAAGCTACAGTAGCTACGCTTCGCCCCCTCCTCCGTACAAGTCACCCCCATATACCTCCCGTACCATATCTTCCACGTGAGTGTTCCCGGAGCGACTGTGGCACGATAGTCAATGAAGACATCGTTATAGGTCCCAGTACCCTCAGTCTACGACGCAGGGCACGGCAACCTACGATTCCTGCAGCACCTCCGGTCCCAGCATGCGGCCGGGTGCACCCAGCGAGACGTCTTCGCTCTGGAGCACCTCGACCTATCGGTCCAAGCGGTCTCGCAAGGTTCCGGTCCTCGTCTGGGTTCTTCTCGCCTTCCTACTCGTAGTCGTTATGGGCCAGAACACCGGATACATGTCGACGCTCGTGGACGACGTCTCCCTCGCCCAGAAAGCTGCTAATAGGGTGAAGTGGCGGGCGGAGAGGGAGCGCTGGGAGGTAGAGAAGGCCCGACACCAGTACGAAGTCGACCGCGAACGCGAAACACGCCAGCACGAGCGGGAGGAACACGAGAGGGACAAGGAGCAGTGGGAACGCGACCAACGGGAGGGGCGCGAGGCACTCGAGAATGACAAAGCGGAGTGGCACCGCCAGCAACAGGAAGAGCACGAAACGCTCGAGAGGGAGAAGGAAGGTTGGGCCCGCCAGCAGCGTGAGGAGCGCGAGGCGTTCGACAGGGAGAAAGAGGGTTGGGCCCGCGAGCGGTGGGAAGAAGAGAAGCACCGGAAGGATGTCGAATGGAGGCGGAGGGGAGCATTCTGGTCAGAACCATGGGCGGCGACCTGGCAGTGCAGCGGGTACGGGACGCGGCCGTACGCCGCGCATCTGTGGGATCTTCCGGGAGACGTCGACTGGCACGAGGCCTGCATGGATATGCCCATCAAAATCAACGGTCAGTGGATGGATGGGCCAGCCAATTGCCAGAGGGATGTAAGCGTGTCCTGTGTTCGTTCGACATGGACAAGAACTCACCTGGCAATTGTGGTAGAAACGTCACATATGGGGAACATGGTACGTCAACTTCGGCGAACCGCAATGTGTCCCGTACTGGGACCCAATCCGGTATATGGTAGATCACAATTTTCTAAAACTCTCGTGGAAGGGTTCGCTGACTGGAATCTGTATCGTAGGGATGTAGCCCTGGTCGAAGCGGAATGCGGGTGAGTGGTGGTTCCTTTCGACTTGAGCCATCTGCGATAGTGACTGTACTTGCTTCAGCGATACGAAGCCAGGCTCATGAATCTGCGCCACGGTGATGACTGGGATCTTATGTGCCGTACCACGCCCGCGGACATATCCGGCATACACTTCGATCATCCTGATTCGTGCGAAGACAAGGTATGAATCACACAGCCCCAATCTCCGGACTCACTGACGACACTAAGTATTTAGAACGGTCGGACTGGCGTGTGGGACGTACCAGACGGATGGTGCTGATGTAACGCGTCGTCACCCATCCTTCCTGAACCATAAAATATGTTGGGACTCCTGGTCGCATGCGTAGGGCTGCAGCGCGAAAAGGGCGCACTGAGGCACAGTTTGAATATCTAGCATGGACCTGAACCTATATATGTGATAACATCAGGATGAGCCTTTACCAATGAGAATCTTCCATATGAAGTGTCCTCTGGTCGCTAGGATGCGTGTAGTAGTAGGATGAGATGATATGTCTGGACACCGATATGATACACACCGGGCGCATTGACAGACTCTCCGGCGGCCGCAGCCCGACAGAACGCGTCCATCCTCCTTCTGATTGTTGTAGTACCTTGTAGTTCAAGAAAGTGAGGGTGACAAAATCTTGACGTGAATTCGCTGGAATGGACTTGAGTCGGCCAAGCGGCCTGGTCCGGCTATAGAGACGGTCGAACGCGGTCACGATTCCTCACGCGAGAACGAATCTGCGCGATGATGTCACGGGCCGAGGAATCCCGGCGATACTCGCGCGCCATTGCGCTATCGAAGCGTGCGGCCGCGCGGTCGGACATTGCTCGTTCCCAGGCACCATTACATATGTATACCCAGCCATTTCGTATATGACTCCCACCTTTCTTGCACCTCGGCCTCCGCGATGAAGGAAAACCACGATCCGGAGAAGATTCTTCTTCTCAACCGCGACGAGCAGAATGAGGAGGAGCCCAAGCGTTCTCGTGTTTGGTGGGGCCCGCGCCAGTGGAGGGGCCTGAGGAACTTGGTTGTTGTGCTTGTCATTTATGGTGCATACACGGTTGCCATGCATGTCCTTGCACCGATGCAGCACGATGAGCACCACCATGAGAGTCTTTACTGGGCTAAGAAGGCTGCATGGAAGCAACGCGGCCCGCTCAGCCCTGAGAAGGTTGAGGAATTCTATCTGTACGTCCCATTTGCCCCTACAGCTGTTGCGAGTGCTGCGAGCCTCATGATTATCTGACCTACTCAAATGCAGCTCGATTCCGGACCCTGGTTCTGCGCTCGCTATCTCGCGCGAGTACGCCACGCACCCGCACGTCGCAGGCTCCGTCGAGGATCTCAACGATGCCAAGGTCATCCTAAAGCTCTTCCAGGACGAGTTTGGTATCCACGCATCCGAGGATATCCCTCTCTACCATGCAGGCACTCATGAGTCGCGTTCGGCGACCCTCGACATCCCCAAGTACCACCATCCGAAGGCTTGGATCGACCAATACTTTCCAGTCATGAACACTCCGCTTGACCGGGCACTATCCATCCTCGGGGAGGACGGTAAGCCTGAGTGGGAGGCCGACTTGGTGGAGGATGGAGACCCACACGATCCAGACGCGGCCAAGTACCGCGACGCTGTACCCACATTCCACGGTTTGAGTGCGGACGGCGAAGTGGAGGGCCAGCTCGTGTACGTGAACTACGGCAGGAAGGAGGATTACGATGAGCTCATCGCCAAGGGGGTGAACCTTACGGGAAAGCTTGTCCTCGCGCGCTATGGCGGTGTATTCCGCGGCCTAAAGGTATGTCAACCGCTCACCAGATATCGAGCTTCTCTCAACTTGATTCCATAATGGCAGATCAAAGGAGCACAAGAGCTTGGAGCTGTCGGCGTGCTCATTTACGATGACCCGCGCGACGATGGTGTTGTTACTGTCGAGAACGGTTACAAGCCATACCCCGAAGGCCCAGCGCGGAACCCGACAGCCGTGCAGCGTGGCAGCGTGCAGTTTATCTCGTTGTACCCTGGAGACCCCACCACTCCTGACGCTCCCGCTTACGAGAACGCGACCCGCACTGATGGCGAGAACATCCCCAAAATCCCTAGCTTGCCTATCTCTTGGGAGAATGCTCAACGCCTTCTCAAGGAAATTTCCGGTAAAGATGTCAAAGCTGCGCTCACGTTGAACGGAAAAGCTAGTGAGAAGAAGGTCAAGCTCGTGAACCATGGTATGTGGAGTAATATTGAATTGATACTTGACTTGTATACTGATTTTGTTGTGTAGTCGATACCAAGGTCATCCCCATCTGGAACACACTGGCTGTCCTCCCTGGTCACATCAAGAACGAGACTGTCTTGATCGGCTGCCACCGTGATGGTGCGTTCCATGACTAATATATGATTCGTCTCACCTCGTTGTACTGACGAGTCAAAAGCTTGGGTGATGGGTGCTACTGACCCGACATCTGGTACCGTGTCCATTCACGAGGTCGTCCGCGGATATGGTGCTCTCTTGAGGAAAGGCTGGCGGCCCCTGCGAAACGTCGTGTTCGCTAGTTGGGATGCTGAGGAGGTACCGACTGTCTCTCCAGCGTCGTCCTATAAATTATACGTGTCTAACGTCGGCCTTGATCTGCAGTATGGCCTGATTGGCAGCACTGAGTGGGCGGAGGACTTCCCGGAATGGATCACCGAGAACGTCGTTGCATATATCAACCTTGGTCAGTACCTGCATATCAAGGAATGTATATACTCATGTTATTTCTGACACAGACGTATCTACTGGTGGGTCTCAGTGGTCAGTTGGCGCATCCCCATCGCTCGCGCATTTGATCCGCGATGTCGCGCTGAAGGTCCCACACCCGACCGATCCCACTCGGACGCTATGGGACGCGCGTCATGATGTTGGTCCATATGACGGCTTCGTGGACGCCGAGAGCGCGGCGGTGTTCTCGGAGCGAAAACTGCACACACAATCTGACTTGGGCATCACTCCTCTGGGATCCGGTAGCGACTGGACGGCGCTCCTCCAACATCTCGGTGTAAGTGGCGTCCCTGCTTGCAACGACACCGATAGCTGGCTAATTTGTTGACTAGGTCGCGAGCATGAACCAAAACTTCGAATCAACGCTGACCGACGCCGTGTACCACTACCACTCCGTCTACGACTCGCAGTTGTGGCAGGAAAGGTACGCTGACCCTGGCTTCTTCCGCCACGCTGCCGTCGCGAAGCATCTCGGTGTCGTCGCGCTCCGTCTGGCCGACTCGATCATCCTCCCGCTCAACACGACCCACTACGCGCACGAGCTGGACAGCTACCTAGACGCGGTCGAAGACATCAACGCGGCGCTGAGCACGACTGCCGACTTCTCTGGGCTGCGGAGGAGCATTGGGCGTCTGCAGGCAGCGAGCAAGGCGCTCGACGAGGAGAAGGAGGAGGCGGAGAAGGCATTCCGCGAACTGCTCGACAAGATCCCGCATCACGAGGCGCACGCGCACCGCCATGCACACCCGCATGCGCACGTCGACGGGGACGTCGTTCCTCATCCCGACAGTGAGGAGGGACACCCGCACCCGTCCGGACACGGACACTCGAGATGCGCCCTTCACCACCACGGCCACAGCTCGCGCATCAACGGCCTCCCGCTCCCGGGCTGGCTGAAGAAACTCTTGGAAAAGATCTTTGGTCACGGAGGTCCGCCGCGGGGCCCGATCGGCAAGTTCGTCAAGGCGGCGCAGCGAGTGCAGGCGGCGAACGCTAAGCTGGTCGCGTTCGAACGGGGGTTCATCTCGGAGGAGGGCATCAAGGACCGGGGGTGGTACAGGCACTTGGGTGTCGCGCCTGGCAAGTGGCTCGGTATGTGGAATTTCCGCTACTCCTATGTGTTTCGTGGATTGCGATGCCATCGGGCAGGGCCTCGGTGCTGCGCCGGCGCGCGGTATGCGATCTCGCTTGAATGCGGCGGAGAGCCGCAGGAGGGATGGGACACGGTACTGATAAGTTTTATTCGTAGGTTACGGAGCGACGACTCTGCCGTCGATTACGGAGGCGTTAACCATTGATGTGAATGCGACGCTGGCGGAACAGGAGGCGAGACGAGTTGGGGCGCTATTAGACAAGCTGACGGAGACGATCAAAGTGTAGGAGATGCCTTTAGAGGGAGGTTTGCACTGGCAATGGGCGTGTGTGCTTGCCGTGCGTTGCTGGATATTGTAACCCTCATACATCCCAGCCTGCGATGTGCGTTGCGCTCACTTTGCCTGTGTTTTGTTTGTATAGATATGATGGGTGAATTGGTATGCGTGTACCCAAAGCGACTCGGAGGTGGTTAGTGGCCGCTGACTAGGAGGCCTAAGGATTCGTTCTCGCAGTGAGGCCCGGCGGGTGCCGAAACGCGCGATGCGATCGAAATGGGCGTGGAGTCGGGTTATGTCACGCGACAGACAAGGAGACGGATGCCCGAATAAGCTGTGCGCCTTCCTTCTCGGAGAGCCGTCCATAACTTACGGTCTTCAACGCACCCCCGTACCTTCCACGTCTGATGCCGCGGCGCTACGATCCCCTCGAGCGATGTTGAGTACGCAGGAAGCCGTCCGCGCGATCAATATTCAATGAGGAGTTACTTTGTCGCAGACTCGCGAAGTCCTGACATATGCCACCCATGATGTCATTGACCGCTCACGTCTTCCTTCACCAGCCCGGCG